CAGTATTCTGTATACCTGTCCTGTAGATTTATCTCAGTATTCCGTTTATCTGTCTTGTAGATTTATCTCAGTATTCATTGTAATTATCCACAATGGTTTTCAACAGTATTCAGTGTTACTTTCTTGTATGGTATTTCATTTCTGTTTATTGTTTATTGATACAAATCCAATATATTATAATAATAATTAAATACAAAGTAAATTTAATTCTATTTATAGTGTGGATTTGCATATGTTATGCAGAACTATTTTTATAGGTGGAAGGACTTCTTGCTTTTGCCTCTGCATCTATTAATTAAAACATACCGTGACCGGTTTACTGCTTTACATGCAAGAACACATGTCACGTGACAGGCGATAGCGTCACTTGAACAAATTTTGTCAGAGGCCAAAGGTAAGAAGTTTCGATCATTTTTTATTGTCGACATAGTTCAGTGATTTTGTTGTCCTTCCGGGGCACAGTGCGTATGGTATGGCGGTTAAGCTATCCGTGTTAGGTCATAGCTATATCAGACGATTGAAAGATGATGTTTCTAGGCCCAGGAACGGCTGGGAAAATCTTAACTTAAGCGAGTCTGAAGTGGTGGTCAAGTTTATGGGAAAAGGTGGCGGAAAGTGAGCGACTTAACTTCCCTTGATTTCTCTTCCCATTTGACGTTGGAGCGACCTGATGCGGTGCTACTGCAAATTGGGGGAAATGACGTTGATTGTTTTGATTCCGATCCCTTAAAGATCGCGAGTAATATTGTGGCCGTCGCTGAGTGGATGGTGTTCGGATTTGGAATACGCCAGGTTTGCGTTATGCAACTGCTATTTCGTAAGTCAACGAGACACATTCCTGTTGAGGTCTACAATGATAGAGTATGTACAGTGAATGGGAACTGAAGGCTCGTTTGTCGCATAGTCATTGTATTCACTACTTCAAGCACAGGGGACTGAAACAGTGTGAAGTTAACATTTTTACGCCCGATGGGGTCCATCTCAATCAGCAGTACGGTGTGCCTAAATATGTCCGCAGTGTTCGGGGTGCAGCTATTCAGACGTATCGTCGATGCTAGGTATGCTACCCAAAGTGAGTAAATACGCAGTTGGTCAGAATTAATTGTGATTGTATCAGTTTTTAGGATAGCCTAAGCGGCAGTTTTACACCGCTATTTATAGCCAACATGTGGTTGCGTGAATTTTTTAGGGTAACCTAAGCGGCCGGTTGGCACGGCTATTTATAGCCTAACTGTGTGTTTCTAGATGTAGACTAGCGTCTGGGTAGTTTGTCGGTCATATTTGTAAACATTACTATACAGGTTTTACTTAATTCGTAGTGATGGTGCATATTATCAGATGGCCTTTTCACAACGGGCAGGTTCGCCTGCACACGTGCTGTCGAGCCCGGGTATAGCGGGCGGATTACGTGGAGACAGGTGTGTATCGGTGATATTGGCTAGGGTGTAGACAACGTTCATGTCGAACGAGTTGTAAATAACATGAAATCGGCTTAGGAACTAAAAGTTGAACTTGGACTTTGTGTTTTGGTACAGTTTCCTTGACAAAGTCGAGGGTTAGGTACCCTGTCATGGAAGGGCAAAGGTTTAGGGTCATTCCCGGTGTAACAATACCAGTTTGTGTTCAGTATGGTTAGCTTGACTGGATTCCATAGTTGTGTTAGTCACATGTGGGTAAGGGTCACCCTGGGTGTGACAGATATAACACATGTGGTATGTCTAGCTTACAAGTCTGATGGGTTCTTATCGCTCTGCCAGTAAATATATCAGAGATTTTAGCTTGGCCAGGTACTATCCTTGTGGTAGTTGCATGTGGGTTAGGTGAAACCCTGGGTGTGACAGGTAGTCCACATGTGGTACGGCTGGCTTGGTGGTGTCATTTGGTAGAAAGGCGTTTTCTTGGTATTACAGGTAGGCTAGCATACATTTAGGTGTCGGTTGAATCACATATTATATGCTGGTATACTAAATAGCGACACTAAATCTTCATATAGATATAATGAACATATATTTCTGGTATATATTAAGCAGCTATTTTTATGCTGAGGTCCATACACTGAATTTTATCGACTAAACTTGACCTTACTAATTTGTTCAAGGGGCATTGTGTTCCACTTATCGCTGCATTATTATTTGCTTAATGATTGTGTTTTTTATTTGAGTGTGTCAAGATGCCACCAGGACGGCGCAAAAGAGCGGCAGCAGCTAGGCATACCCTTATTCCAAAACGGGAAACAGAAGAAGTCGGGGTCCAGCCGGGTCCAACAGCTGTCCAACTCCCTGGCACAAATGCAGTGCCCCCAATATCAGCTATTGTAGCCGACCTTCTGGTTCAAATGAGAGCAGAGGGATTAGTGCTAAGACAGCCAGCTCAGCTGCCTGTACCATCAGGAGCGTTCACACAGCCCACAGCTGCTGCAGGGTCTGCTGAACAGACAGACGCGGACATGTTCCAGCGGGGCAACCAGGAGGAACAACCGATGTTCCTGGCACAGGCCAATAATGCATCACTGCTGCAGAGCTCGGCCCCCACAGTATCGGCCCAATATGAGGTGACACCTCAGCTACCAGTGGCAGGACAAGGGCCATCACATCTGTCAGCTGCAGCAAGGCCTGATAGTGCTAGCGCCTCCTTTCTGGTGGAGCAGGCCATGAATAATATAACAGGTACACCAGCTCATGATATAAGTACACCTATTATGTCTAGCGTCTCCCGCCCCCTTGATATGCATGTTGACACCCGCACTAAGCAAAAGATTTGGGCGGATCAATATGTAGATTTTGGATCCCTGCTCTCAACCAATGGTTCAGAGCAGTTTAATATCACAGTTACAGACAATACCCTGGCTTTAATTCCTAAAACGAAACCAGTGGCAATAAAATCTATGGACCACTGGATTTCAGCTTTTCAGGTATTTGTGACTGTGGTGGTCCAGGCCAAGCCGGAATTAGCTGGGCCTTTAATGAAATATGCTAATATCATCCAGCATATCTCAAGGAAGGCGGGGGACCTAGCTGCTAACCATTACGACGTTAATTTTCGTAAATGTAGACAAGCGGCTCCACACCAACTGCCCTTTGACCAGGTTAATCAAGAGCTGTTTCTGGAGGCTATGACCTATAACTTGGCTCGTAAAGGTCAGCCCAGCCAGAATGAACATGAACAGGGACATGCGCAGGGTAAATCCACACAGGGCAAAGTTTGCTTTGCCTTTCAAAGAAAAGGGGTTTGCAATCGTCAGCACTGTGTGTTCAAGCACCTTTGCAAAACCTGTGGGGGTCCTCATTCCTTTCGGAAATGTTCAAAAACAGACAACTATGCACAGGTCCCCTCCAGTGGCAGCTCAAAACCCTCCTCGGCACCTAAACCCAAAAGCAACTAATAACATTTTAAGTATAACGCCGGTCAAATTCGACAGACTAGCTCTATTTCTCCAAGGCTATGACAGAGTTTCTTTTCAATTTTTACAAGCAGGGTTCTTGGAAGGTTTTTCATTACAGTTTCATGGTATTCGTTCCTTCAGATTAAGCAAAAATTTAATTTCAGCTACAAGCAACCCGGAGGTGTTGTTACAAAAAAAATAATAAAGGAATAGCCTTGAATAGGATCGCAGGCCCCTTTTCTGTCCAGCCATTCACAAATTTACAAATTTCTCCCCTGTGTCTGGTTCCCAAAAAAGGACCAGGGGAATATAGACTCATTCATCACTTGTCTTTTCCCGAAGGGACCTCTATCAATGACGGCTTAAGTGATGAGGACAAAACAGTTCATTATGAAACTTTGGATGATGCAATTTTTCAGATAAATAGGTTCGGCAGGGGAACATTATTATCAAAAACAGATTTAGAATCTGCCTTCAGAATGGTACCTGTGCGACCGTTAGACTATGAATTGTTGGGGATGAAGATAGGGGAATACTATTATTATGACAAGTGTCTACCTATGGGATGTTCAATATCTTGTCAGCTCTTCGAAAAGGTCAGCTCTGCCCTCCACTGGGTTATGCAAAATTATTTTCAAGCTCCAGGGGTCGTCCACGTGCTAGATGATTTTTTGTTTATTGGCCCCGACAGTACTAACCAGTGCCAAGTAGCTTTAAACAATTTTCTGAACATGTGTAAGCTGGTGGGGGTTCCTATCAAACAGGAAAAAACTGTTACACCTACCACATGCCTTACTTTTTTGGGTATAGAACTTGACACGCAAGCCATGGTGGCTAGACTGCCAAGTGACAAGGTGCAAAAGATATCGACAGCTTTGTCTGAATTTTTGCAAAGGCAAAAGGTTACCCTTAAAGAACTCCAATCTTTAATCAGTCTGTTAAACTTTGCTTGTCGGGTTGTGGTTCCTGGGAGGACCTGGTTACGGCGACTGATTGATTTAACAAGAGGGCTGACAAAGCCTCACCATCATGTCCGGTTGACTAAGTCAGCTAAGGCTGATTAAGAGGTTTGGCAGATATTTATCAAAAACTTTAACAATTCCACCATGTTTTTACCCAATCTCTGGGAAACTTCAGAAAAACTCGATATGTTCACAGATGCAAGTAATAGTGGGTTTGGTGCTATACTTGGACGTCACTGGTTTTATGGGGAATGCCAAGACGACATGAAACAATATCACATTAATGTTAAAGAGCTGTTTCCAATCACGGTGGCGCTCGAAGTTTGGGGAAGTTTGCTCAAAAACAAGTCAGTACTGTTTTTTTCGGACAATCAAACAGTAGTATCTATTATAAACAAACAGACATCTCCCAACCCTGACACGATGGTGCTATTGCGTAGGCTGGTCATAGTTTCTCTGCAATTCAACATTCGTTTCCATGCTAAACATATTCCGGGTAAAGAAAATGTTCTCGCTGATTACCTGTCTCGTTTGCAGGTCCCACAGTTTCGTATGGCGGCTCTGCATATGGACAAGCTCCCAACACAACTGGCGGACAATCTGTTACATATTTAAATGCCAAAGTTCTAGAGCTTGTCAATTCTGCGTTGACGCCTAGCTCACAGCAGATGTACCATAGAGCATTTGTATCATTGTCACGGTTTGCCCAATCAGTTCTGCACACAGAGTGCTGTCTGCCCATAGACGTGAATACCTTAGTCATGTTTATTGCGTATTTGTCTAAACTACGGTTTTTGTCCCCCTCCTGCGATAGTCATAGAATCACTATTGGATATTGCACAATGACTACATGTATTTTAGGTCAGTGTGTAGTGACATGTAGTGTATACATGTTTGTTCTTTATGTCGTTTTGTGAATAAACGGCCTATTTCATATCACACTGGTATTACTGGTTGTCATTTGCTTTTTGTATAATGAGTATGGCTTGCTGTGTGGCTAGTGTAAAGAATCGCACACTATAAAATAATAATTAAATTCAAAGTAAATTTAATTCCATTTATAGTGTGGATTTGCATATGTTATGTAGAACTATTTTTATAGGTTGAAGGACTTCTTGCTTTTGCCTCTGCATCTATTAATTAAAACATACCGTGACCGGTTTACTGCTTTACTAGCAAGAACACATGTCACGTGACAGGCGATAGCGTCACTTGAACAAATTTTGTCAGAGGCCAAAGGTAAGAAGTTTCGATCATTTTTTATCCCGCCTCCATCCCCTCATCTCCACCAAGCATTGGGGATATTTAAATATACTCATATTTAATCTTCGGAGAGTCATTTATCATGATTGGATTTTGTTTACTTACTTGATGTATGCAAGGGCAAGGCGGTTTTTGCCCCACTCCTGCGATAGTCATAGAATCACTATTGGATATTGCACAATGACTACATGTATTTTAGGTCAGTGTGTAGTGACATGTAGTGTATACAGGTTTGTTCTTTATGTCGTTTTGTGAATAAACGGCCTATTTCATATCACACTGGTATTACTGGTTGTCATTTGCTTTTTGTATAATGAGTATGGCTTGCTGTGCGGCTAGTGTAAAGAATCGCACACTATAAATATTATTGTTTTACAGTATTCATTGGACCGTTAGATTATTGAATGAATATAAATGACATGGTTTATGAGTAAGTGTCGTTACCTATTGTGATATTGGTCCATCTCTACGATCAGAAGCTATGATGGGTATAAGAAGGGACGCAACTGTTATAGCATCGTTACAAAAGACAACTCTGATAGTCCTAGCCACTCTAGTGTAGATAATTCAATAAGGCTTTATTGCATAGAGCATAAACAATACCTACACCCATCTTTGTAGCCCGAAAACAAAATATCCCGACCTCCTTATTATTTACAACAGGATTGATATTTAAGTCACAATACAAACAGGACACAATATCAAGTTATATAATAGAATATTTTATTAAGGTGTATATACAATAAAACTAAACATTTAAGAACTCAGTAAGCCGGCTTTCTTTGTGTAAGTTGTTTTTTAATGTAAGACCGTATTTATAAAAAAAAAAAACTACAGAAATAGCAAGTATAACATTGTTGTTTTAATGCAATACAAGCTAACGTCACGCTACCACAATTGGTACAATTTTGACAGATTTTAGGTAATTAAAAATTCAGATCTTGCATCTGGAATATTTTTTTTATTCTTGACAAAGATTACCTATGGTAGTTCATTTTCAGGGAAAGTTTTATATTTTAGTAATTTGTTTTTGAAAATAGTACGCTAAACCCGCAGTGAGATTTCGGCCGTTTTCGGCCGTTATTAGTACCCAAATTGGTACACCATATCACAGGCTATTACACTTGTTTTTATTTCTTCTAGTTGATGTGCCGAATACAACAAAATATATTGCTTTTACAAATACCATACTGAACTATAATTGTATATATTCACTTTTATATTATCCTGTTATACGGACCAGAAATCAACATTTAAACATGCTTATAATTAACCCCTTCAAAATCCTCTAACAGTTCGTCGACGTACGTTGTTTTTACTGGTTTTCTGATATGTTTACTTTGAAGTTATCGGGCACTCTTAAAATGTTACTGAAAACAAAACAATTCGGCGGAAATCCTGATAAATATCTCTTTTGAAAAACCGTCAAAGGAAAATGCCCAAATTCAATTTTAAAGTACTATTAAAACCATTTTCTGACCGTGTACCAATTGTGGTAGCGTGACGTTATACTTAAACATTTGGTTTTGAGCTTAACAGATTCACAGTGTAAATATCTCCCTGTTTTAGTTAACCTAGTTTCTATATGTTTTATATTGTCTGTAGCTTCATGGAACTCAGGGGTGTTATATCTTACTCGTTTTCTATGAGGACTCCGAGTTAGAGAAAGGACTAGGGAGGCTCGCGCATGAGAGAAAAACACGACGATTTATTTCCCCGCAGAGTGATCAACCCAATTCTATCAGAAACCCTTACTTTGTTGTATAAATAAGCTGTACATGCTTTAACATCAGTGTTAAAATCTACCGTTCTATCAAGCCTTTGATATCAGTTACTCAAAACTCCGGGGAATAAATTTCTCAGGATTGTTATTTTATGATTTAATCATTCCAAACCTGTGTCTAGTTTGGGAACACCATCATTTATTGAATGTTCTTTTCTTGAGATGTATAAGAATAATAGGATTAATAGTAATATTAGTGATATTGACTGGATCTTTATTTCCCAGAACAATGATGTTAACGATTTCAATAATATTCTGGTTGAATCCATAAATAAACAAATCGAAGAATTCGTACCACATCGATCAGTTACAGTAAGACCAAATGATAAACCCTGGTTCACTAATACTACTAGACTTAAAATAAGGCAAAGAAATCGTATCCATAATAAAGCTGTTAACACGAATTTCCCTTTTCATTGGGAAAGGTACAGATTAATTCGAAATGAAACAATTTATTTAATTAGAATTACAAAAAAACAATACCTCTTGAAACTCGAATCCTCTCTTAATAGCAAAAGCTTACCACCTGACAAGTGGTGGAAAGTAGCGAAATCTCTGTTAAAAACCGACAATAAGCAAACCAGTGTCCCTCCTTTAAACGATAATGGCTCTTTACTTCAAAATCCATTTGATAAGGAAGAATGTCTCAATACTTACTTTTCTTCTGTCTCTACTTCATCAAATGATCTTGATCCTCTCCCTTCCCCTCCTGTTTTTCCTTTCGTAATTGATAGCATTGAGTTCACCAAACAGGATATTAAAGATCAACTTACTATTTTAAGAGGGAAGAAGCCCGCTGGTACTGATAGAGTGGTCCCAAAACTTATAAAACTACTAGCACCTTCTATCACTCTTCCTCTTACCCTCCTTTGTAATAAAACCATGGAAACTTGCTCAATCCCATTGTCTTGGAAAACTTCAAGCATTAATGCTATCTATAAAGGCAAGGGTGAGAAAATTGATCTTCCAATTATCGTCCTATTTCAGTTACCTCTTTCTTTAGCAAAATAATACAAAAAAAAGAAATGTTTAAATATCTATATAACTATTTGCGAGAATATGAAATCATTACTAAGAACCAGTCAGGTTTTATTCCAGTTGATGTGAATCAACTTCTTTCGATATATCATATGATTATGGATTCCCTTGATAAAGGACGAGAAATCCGCTCTGTATTCTGTGACATAAGCCTTAGATAGAGTGTGGCATATAGGGTTATTATACAAACTAGAATCCTGTGGTATTAAAGGAAACTTGCTAAGTTGGTTTAAAAAATACTTGTCAGATAGAAAACAACGTGTTTTAACCGAGGGCATTTTCTCAACTTATAAATCTGTAAACGCTGGAGTTCCCCAGGGATCTGTTTTAGGTCCCTTTTTATTTCTTTTATATATTAATGATATAGCCGATATTGTAACTAGTGACATAAAATTGTTTGCTGATGATACATCCTTAAGTGAAATAATTGAAAATAACAATATTGAAATAGCTAATAAAGTTTCAGAAAAAATCTTTCAAATATTAGTACTTGTATTAGTAAAAAGTGGGATATTAGTTTCAACCCTTTAAAAACTGTATCAATGATATCTACTAGGAAAAGAGACATGCTAAATCAAGATTTATTTTTTAACCATAGCCCAGTTCAATCCCTTGCTACCATATAGGTGCTATTTTATCTGAAGATGGTAAATGAATTCACCATGTAAATTATATATATGAAAAAACGTTTAAAAGGGTAAATATATTAAAATCACTTAAAAAACGATTCTCAAGAAAAACTCTTTTAAAGATATATAAAGCCTATATTTTGCCTATATTGGATTATGCAGACGTCTTGAGGAACAATTGTACGGACCAACCTAAACAACTGCTTGAATCTGTCCATTTAGAAGCTGATAGAGTCATAACAGGATTGCACAGAGGTACCTCTCATGAAAAATTACATAAAGAACTTGTCTGGGAATCTCTCTCAGATAGACGACAAAAACATAAATTAATATTAATGTATAAGATACTTCATGGCATGGCCCCGCAACAAAGATATAGCTCAACCGTTTATATATCACAATGAAAATGAAAGGTATCCATTAAGGACGACTAGATAAATCAACACTCCAATATGTAGAACAGTAAGCTATTATAGTAGCTATTTCCCAAGTACATTTAGGGAATTCAACTCACTCGCTCTCCATTTTGATTTATCCAATGTAAACTCTCTATCACAATTTAAAGCTCTACTCTTCAAAAATAATGAAACTGTTTCTGCTACAACAAAAACGTTTGCAAATGATGGCAGTCGAAATATAAGTATAATTATGTGTCAACATAGAAATGAAGCCAGCAATTTGAACTCTGACCTTTTTCTTGACCATTTAAAAGATTCTCCAATATACACATGCAACCTTGGTGAGGAAACTGCGGAACATTATTTTTGTATCTGTCCTCTATTCAACCATTCTCGATTGACACTTAGAAAACAGCTCATTTTAATATAAACACATTACTTCATGGATGTCCTGAATGTGATAAAGAAACCAATGCATTTGTACTACAATGTATATCAGAGTACATTATCAACACTAAAAGATTTGTTTAATCATAACTATACCTGGTACGGTGGGGGACATGGAGACACACTATATGAATTGTTTATATGTTTGTTTGACGATTTCAATGACTGTACATATACCATACCGAAGTTGTAAGGAGAAGGCTTATATAGGCTGTGCCTGATGCTCTATCCCTTTGCAATAACATTTGTTGAAATGATAAGAACAATATTTTACTATATATATATATATTTTTTTTTTATCTGTATACATTGTTTTTTAGCGAAGCAACATTAGCGATAAATTAACAGCAATTTGTATGCTGGTTTTTTTTACGCGGTGC